AGTCCACAGATCTTTCTTGCCTTGCTGCTGGCCGACCAGGTCTCCACCCGGGTTCACAGTAGTCTGCTGAACAATGTAGGGTTTAGCTCGCCGCTTCATTGATATTCTTCGGTCACTTCCTTTTATGGGTGACGTGCGTGGTTGCCAGTCAGAACATGTATTTCCAATGCGTCTTAGTCTTGGAAGAGAATTTGCACTGAGGGGATCCGACCACTTGCTATGATATCTCCTGGGCAAGCAATTTGCTTGTTCTTGTGGTAACAGTCAGACTGCCCTTATTATTTTGTATTTTTCCTGTAGGTCTTTCTTTCAAGAAGTATCTATCTTCTGTTCTTCTAGCTGCTCCAGGCTGGTTTGCTCGTCCTTTCAAGTGGAAGATTCTCATCTCTGAAGCTTTGGATGTAGTTCAAGCTTCCACTTATAGTCTTATGTAATGCAGAGGCTCCTCTGGAAACCTCTTTCACTGGACATGTTGTAGCCCCATTTTAGGTATTCCAATCAGTTACAGGCAGAAGACGGACTTACAAGCTTTCTATGGTAATATTTCTGGCTATTCCTTTCTCTCCCCCTCTAGTGTCTGTTTTATAATATAATGCAAGGAAACCCAAGATTCAAAAGACAGCCAAGCATCTTAATATTATTCCCCCCTTTACTCCATTCCAACTATGTCTCAATCTCTGTATCCCAGAGCCCTGTTGTTCTAAGGCTATGTCTAAATGTCCCATTTAGTCCATTCATACCTAATTGTTCTCCTGTCTGCTTTGTTCTTCCATTCCCCTCTCCCTACTTGTATATCGGCCCCCTCCCCAACACCCAAACTATACTGTGTCTATTCCCTGCCCTGTACTCCACCTTCCCCTCCCATCCCTAAGCCTACCCCTATGTCCTAGCAACCTTTAGTATAATTTCTTTTTCTTAGTCTTTTACAGTAGTGGTCCCATGCAGTATTTCTCTTTTTGTGACTGACTAATTTCACTCAACATAATGCCCTCAAGGTTCATCCATGTTATGCAGTGGCTTGCAGCTTCCTTG